GAGGGGCCCCCATTACATAGTGTTCTAAATGAGGTCAATTCATTGGAGATCGTTCGTTGGCAGACCAACAATCTTCTTGTATCCTTAGCCTCAGCATGTATCCCGACGAGTCACAAGGGTATACAATCAACATCGACATCTGTACGGCCAGTGGCATCCGTATATGGGCGCTTTCCGGCGTAAAGACGATCTCGATGGGACTCGAACCTACACTCTTTAGTTCCGTAGACCACCGCCTTATCCATTAGGCCACGAGACTAATGAGTTTGAGATTTGTCCCACCATCTCTGCGCCCCATTGACTTCATGGCACACATGGTTTCCCATCCGACACGCTGAATAGGTCGCAAAACTCTCGCTCCTCATAGAGGGGCCTCCATTACATAGTGTTCTTAAAGGGGTCAATTCATTGGAGATCGCTTGGTGGCAGACCAACAATCTTCTTGTACCGTTAGCTTCAGCATGTATTCCGACGAGTCACAAGGGTATACAATCAACACCAACATCTGTACGGCCAGTGGCATCCGTATATGGGCGCTTTCCGGCGTAAAAACGATCTCGATGGGACTCGAACCCATAATCTTTGGTTCCGTAGACCAACGCCTCATCCATTAGGCCACAGACTAATGATTTTGAGATTTGTCCCACCATCTCTGCGCCCCATTGACTTCATGGCACACATGGTTTCCCATCCGACACGCTGAATAGATCGCAAAACTCTCGCTCCTCATAGAGGGGCCTCCATTACATAGTGTTCTTAAAGGGGTCAATTCATTGGAGATCGCTTGGTGGCAGACCAACAATCTTCTTGTACCGTTAGCTTCAGCATGTATTCCGACGAGTCACAAGGGTGTACAATCAACATCGACATCTGTACGGCCAGTGGCATCCGTATAAGCGCACTTTTCGACTTGAAGACGATCTCGGTGGGACTCGAACCCACAATCTTTGGTTCCGAAGACCAACGCCTTATCCATTAGGCCACGAGACCAACGAGTTTGAGATTTATCCCACTATCTCGTCACTATGCGCAACACTGACTTAACGGCACACATGAGTTCGCATCCGACACGCTGAATAGATCACAAAACTCTTGCTCCTCATAGAGGGGCCCCCATTACATAGTGTTCTTAAAGGGGTCAATTCATTGGAGATCGCTTGGTGGCAGACCAACAATCTTCTTGTACCGTTAGCTTCGGCATGTATTCCGACGAGTCACAAGGGTATACAATCAACACCAACATCTGTACGGCCAGTGGCATCCGTATATGGGCGCTTTCCGGCGTAAAGACGATCTCGATGGGACTCGAACCCACAATCTTTGGTTCCGAAGACCAACGCCTTATCCATTAGGCCAGAGATTATGGGATACTCTCATCTGCCACAGAGAGTCAACTCGGTGCTCTCTGAGCCAGAGCCTCTGGCCTATGACCCGCGCTTGACTACTCATGCCTCCCAAACCAACTTAAACCGGATGCGGGCGGGTGGGTTCAGGAAAGTCCCCATTAACTAAATGGTAACTGGATATTAATCGATCAAACACCCCCCAACCACATCACAAACCATTCGCTCGTTTGTTGACCTAGCCCAATAAATTGACCTTCATTCAACTTCACTCGCTCGCTGGTTTACCCTGAACACTCTACCATACTATTGTCGAATGTCTGTTGTCCAATAACATCCATTCATTTAGTTAGTTGGGAGTAGTGGGTAGTGGGGCGAAAGCATGATACGTTGCTACAGAACTAGTGAGATCCGAAAGTCTCAACCTCGAAGTTCTGTCGAAAAATTCTCCGAAACTTGCAACGCTGGATGCTTCGCTCCGCATAAGTAGCAGCGAGATTATGGGATACTCTCATCTGCCACAGAGAGTCAACTCGGTGCTCTCTGGGCCAGAGCCTCTGGCCTATGACCCTCGCTTGACTACTCATGCCTCCCCATACACTACCCCCTACGATCAACAGCTAAATTTGACTGCCACATAACTGTCTGTGTTTCTTGCACCCTTTACTCATTTCCTCACACTTTCTTGGTCAACCGTCAATTTTGGGATGAACCCCCCCGAGTGTCCGACGGAGACTGTCCCGAGACTCGTTCGTTACCGCTCGACCGATGGGACTTATCGTGTTTGTAA